TTAAAAAGATTTGATTATATTTTTAAATTAATAATTTCAATAAATCTTCTGTCTTTTTATTTTTTTTTTTATTATTTATTTAACTCATTAATAGGCATATTTTTTTTTTTTTTTTTATAAGTAGGTATTCTAAACTGATTCAGTAAAAGTCTTGCATCTTATGATGTTTTTTTTTGCCCAACTTAAAAAAAAAAAAATAATCAATATCTTTGTTATTATTAAGAGGAAACCAAAAGATTTTTATTATTAAAATAATATTTTTATCCTTTTTAGAATGTTTGAAATTTTGTTAAAATTTTTTTTTTTGTTGTCAGTGGGGAAAAAGAAAAATTAGAAATTTTAGAAAATTTTTTTGCAATGAAAAAACATTGATTTGGAATTTTTTGAAAAAAATCAAATAATTGTCAAATTTTAATGAAAGTTTTCAAGATTTATTCAACAAACAAATAAAATTATTTTTTAGAAATGTTTTTTTAGAAAATCTTTCTATAAAATTTTTAAAATCTGTTACCTACCACTTATTTAATTTTATGAAATTTTGAAAAATTAAATTTTGTCCTGTTTAATGTTTATATTAGTTATCTTCAGATATTTTTGAAGAATTTAATTCGTCAATTTCTTTTTTTTTATTGTAAAACAGGACCCCCAATTATCGAAAATCTGCTCTGAATTATAAAATAAAAACAAAATAAAAATAAGACATTATTTAATTAGAAAGGAAAAGCTTTTAATTGTTTTTATGAATAAATATATTAAGGAAACTATTGTCTGAAGAAAATTTTTTTCCATGAATAATAAATTTTTATATGAATTATTTTAATTTTTTAAAATTTTAATTAGAATAATTTATAAAGTTTTAAATTTTTTAAAATTTGATTTAATTAATTCAATAAAAACTACATTTACTAATCTTAAATGGAAAAAATTTTAAAAATTTTTCATGTGTGTGTGTATATAAACATGCTTATTTTTTGTAAATATGGACATCCATATGCATTATTAGAAAATAAGAGTGATAACTAAAGTAAATTTAAAGCCAAAAATTAAAAAAAACATATAAATTCAATAAGACAAATATTTTCCTAATATTTTCTAAATTTTACTGATAAGATTAAAATATATATAAAAAGGTACCCACATTATATTCCTCAAGTAAATTTTTAATAGATATATCCACCACCATAGAAAAAATTAGACAAACTTCTATCAGTCAAGCTGTTGACACCATAAATAAACAGCTACTGCTGTGTTAAAAAATACATCTGCAATATTTTAAACTAAAAGTAAGTAATATTTGTTTTAAATCCGATTAAATTAAACTTTAAATCAGATAATCTTCCTCAAATAAAGTTTCAGAAAAGTATATTTTATTAATCAAAGATTTTTTTAATAAAGAGAATTGCAGAAAAGCTTCAGGAAAGATTTTTCATCTTTTAAAAATTCTTTTGAAACCTTACGTGTAGTGAATCTGTGGAGGCACCTAATTATAATAAAATAAAAACTTAGTATTAATTATGATTAATTTGTTCTCTACCTGTCATTTCATAAAACTCTTGACACCTAAGAAGTTTGATATTGGTTCTTTCTTACAGTTGATGCTTAGTCCTTTCTTCTTCCCTTTTCCTTTAGTCCTTCCTCAGTGTCTGTCTTATAATTGAATCTCTTTATAAGTTGAATTGATCTTATTGTCTGTCTTTTTAATGCAATTTGAATCTTAACACAAATAAAAACAAACATGGCATTCGATTTATTTCCCCGAAAGATAATGGTGAATCTCTTTATAAGTTGAATTTATTTTTAAAATAAGCCATAATTTTTAATAATTTTAACAAAAAATAAAAAACATACATGGCATTATGAAAGGGTTCAAATATCCAAGATAATGGTGAATCTCTTTATAAGTTGAATTTATTTATTAAAATAAGCCATAAGCAGTTTTTTATCGTAATTTCTAATGGTAACACGAATAAAAACATACATGGCATTATGAAAGGGTTCAAATATCCAAGATAATGGTGAATCTCTTTATAAGTTGAATTTATTTATTAAAATAAGCCATAAGCAGTCTTATATTGCAATTTCTAATGGTAACACGAATAAAAACATACATGGCATTATGAAAGGGTTCAAATATCAAAGATAATGGTGAATCTCTTTATAAGTTCAATTTTATTTATTAAACTAAACCATAAGTACTATCATGTAGACATTTTAAAGGTAATTTTGACAAAAATATTGATGCTATTATATGAGTATCATATGAGTATCATATTATATGAGTATCATCTTATATGAGTATCATATTATATGAGTATCATATTATATGAGTATTAAAATATTGAAGGTAGCAATTAAAATGTCTTATATAGCAATTTATAGGAGTAGCTCTAAGAAAACCTTAGCATTACACCTTAGGTTCCGTATATTGAAGATGGCAGCGTTGCTGTGTCCATAAAAAATAAATAAATAAAAATTAATTATAGTGTCAAAAAGTAATTATATTAAAATATTCATAACAATTATAATTATCATTAATCCATTCATTCTGAACCAATGAGAATCGAAAAAAATTTTCTCCTCTACACACATAAACATCGGACAAGCAGTTCACATGGAGAGGTCATTAACACGTGTCTCAATGAAAATTTCATCTCTCTTTACTTTTTCAGGCAATAAGAGTAAAATTTATCTTTTAGCAGTTAACAAAAAAATTGAGATAAGAAAATTTTAGATACTTCTATTTTACGCACTTTTATAAGAAACCTATGAAAAAGACTGTATACACTTTTGTGGCAGACTTCACATTTATTTAACTTAGATTAGGAAACCAAACTGACGTGAAGAAAAAAGGATAAGCCAAAGACATCATTACACATAAAATTTTTATTTAACAAGATGTACAAACAAGGATAAGAAGAAAGACATGCATTGAGTAAAACAAGAGTTGTCTCTCTTTAACTATTAATTGTATTCCAAAGTTCACTGAAAGAAAGAAAGTTGTGATAGTTTCTGGTAATAAATGTTTTCAACAGTTTTGCTATGTAAGTAAAAAGATTATGTGAGGGTAGGGAATATTCAGTATGTGAGTGGTGGTGTGAGTGAGAAGATTGACACATGGTTTCAACTGTCGTGGATTCGTTTGGCAGCTGAATTCTCACTAATTATCTAAGGATATTTCTTGCTTATATAGGTGATCATCGGCTCCGAAGCGCTGCGTGGGAAGAATCATTCTTCACATGCAGACAATCTGATTGGTTGGCATTGACCAATCAGTGAGCAAGCTTTGGGGAGACTCAAAAAAGCTTCTGGGATCCAATTCTCCCAAAAGTGCACAAAATCAACTACATGAAAATATAGCAATTATAAAATTGTCGCATAGCTGCGATTTATAAAGTGTCCATTACACAGTAGTGTTGATTTATTATCTAATGAATGCTTACTGTTGTATGATTTGAATTTGTGTAAGTATGTATGTGTGTGTGTGTGTGTGTGTGTGATGATCATCACACTTTGCTTATTCTTTATATTATCATTCTATTTAATTTCAATCCATATTTGATTTACATTTGACCTCAAACTCACAATTTTACTCAGTATTACTGTCTCTCACATCTCCAACACCACGTAACAACCAGATAATAAATAATACTTGTTTTATTGTTTCCACGTCTTGTTGTTTCCCATTTTTACAAGAATATTTTGCATATATGAATGTAAGGGGTTCCATAATTATTTACTCAGAGTTATAACACTCCCCTACAGTGTAAGTCTTTAAAACAAATACTGCTGATTGAGAGTGAAGCCAAAGTATATATTGGTTGAAACATTGATTCATAAACAACAAAATGGCAGATACTAATCCAGATAATCCATGGAAAATTTATTTCTTAATCAATTATCAATAAACAGCATAAATCTCTTCAAAATCTAAAGCTGATTTTGTATTGCACAAACACAGGGTCTGAAATAAATTCCTCTTGCCAAAAGAAGACAAACCATTTTTCAGATTCTCATCACTGATAAACACTTGCATAAAACCTCGGACTTTGTGTTCTTAGGTTTGTAGTATCTATTGCGTTCTTTTTTGAATGAACATATTCTATTTCTTATTGATAATCACTTATATCTAGGCCATTCTTTCATTCCCTTGGAATTTGTTGGGACAAGGTTTTTGGCAGAAGCATAACCATATATATTTGGTGGCATTTTCTTTCTGACCAAAATCATATCGTTTCACAATCTGGTGTTTGTGCTGAGTAAATCAGTGAAGATTTTGTCTTGTGATAATATTTGGGCTAAGAAACAATTCTGAACAAATTTAAGAGAAATAAAGTAGCGGTTTACATGAAAGAGAGTGTTGGTGGGAGGAGTTAACAAGAGAGGGAAAATAGAACGAGAAATCAATATGAATTACCAAAAACATGGGTAATTCTTCTTCTATGTGTCATTTCCCTTTAGGATGTGAGCAATCATGGATCTCCACAACTTCCTCTTCTTTATAGTTCTTAGTAAGGTTTGTTGTTTTGTGATCCATATTCTACCATCCATTTACACAAGTTCTTTATATAGGTTACTCACTGCTTTCCTCTGTTCTGCTTGTCTTTAATATGCCCTATAAGTGTCAAAACCTTTTTTCTTCATCTATCTGAGAAATTTCATCTGTCTCTTACTGGTTCTAAGTATAATCCTTCTTTTGTGTTTCTATTTTCATTAAAAATTACTTGTCACTCACAGTCTATGATATTCTCATCATCCTTCTGTAGAACAACATTTCTATCGCTTCCCGTTTTCTCTTCATCTCTGAGGAGTATGTCCAACATTTAATGCCATACAAGAGGATTGATATTACATAAGAGATCAGTACTCTTTTCTTTCTTCCTAACAAAATTATTATACTTTGTAACACATAATAAGCTTTGTCTTTTTACTATTCCTATTGTGCCATCCATTTACACAAACTCATTACATATGTTACTTGCTGCTATCAGTACAAGAAAAGTTTAGAACAAAGAAAAAGAAAGATAAAGAAAAGGACAAAAGAAGAGAAAGGTAGACAAAGACAAGAATGGTGACTAAAATCATAAAAGACAGGAAAAAAAAAGATTGTTTGTGATTCTATAGTGCCAGTCCAAACTGTTCTAAAAAGAAGGATGATTTTGTCCAAGACCCACAGGCTTTACTCACACAAAAGCCTATTTTTCACCATTGATCTTAGGAATTGGTTATATACTAGCGGACAGTTTAGATATCTATGATGGGGTTTAGCACCATGCATGATATCCATCTGAAATTTTTGATCTGATGTGGCTATTTAAAAACATGACTTGAATTTTCAGGTTGATGTTTTGGTTTTGTAACAAGTTGCAGTGTTGGACAAAACTATCTTTAGTTAACTTATTCTATGTTCAAACCATTTTTCTCCTATATAAAATTTGTTATAACTTATCCATATGCCAAGGTATCTGAAGTGTTTAGTATTTACAATTTCACATAATGAAATTTTATAATAGATGTAGGTCAGGGTTGGTGCCATTTTTCATTCCAACTACAGATCATGGTTCTCTTTTGAAAGGTTTATCTTAAATCCTAATACTTGGAGTGCTTGATAGAGGATGTTTATTTTTCTGTTCATAGTCATTATTATCCAAGTATGAAAACCAATGTCATCAGCATAGCCCCCATTATCAACAGAACATTGGACTCAGGAGGAAAAGCAGGATAATTTTCTTCTATTGGTTTTTTAAAATTTGGGTTGAAGTATGGAATGATTAAATGTTTACTGTCCATCTGATGAATAAAAATAAAAGAAATGACAAAAAAGAGATTGTTTGTGATTCTGTAGTCCCAGTCAAAATGTTCAAAGAAGGATTATATTTGTCAAGTCCCTCAGGCATTATTCTAATCAAAGACTTTTTCACCATTGATCTTAGGTATTGGTTATAAAGCGGACAGAATTTTAGATATCTATGATGGGTCTGGCAGCATGCATGGTATCCATCTGAAAGTCTTGATCTGATGTGGCTATTTAAAAAACATGTTGAGCAAAAAAACTATCTCTAGTATAGCTTATTCTATGTTCAGTTTGTTTTTCTCCTATATTATCTGAAGTGTTTAGTATTTACAAATTCCACATAATGATTTTTTATGATAGATGTAGGTCAGGGTTGGTGCCATCACTGCTTTCATTCAATTCCAGATCATAGTTTACATTTTGGAAAAGTTGATCTTGAGTTCTATTTCTTAAAACACTTGGTTGAGGATGTTGATTTTCTGTTCAACATCATTCTTTATTTTAACTATGAATACCTATGTCATCAGCATCAAGCTCCCTCCTCCTCATCAATTCATGAGAAGACTTGAACAAACAGAAAATGTCACTATACAGGTACCAAGGATGGATATATAATCAAAAAAGAATGTATAAGAAAAATGGAAAGAAGAATACTGAAATGTAAGTTATAAATTAAAGATATCAGTAACAAACAATTACAGAAATTTAACTGTCTGTGAAGTTGGTTGGAAGAGGGAATAATGAAATTTAAAACAATATATTAAGAAACAGAAAAAGAGAACTCATTTGAAACGCATAAAAAGGTGCTGAACGTTGATATAATAAAAAATTCTTTTATATACCAGTAACTACAAGACAATTTCCTCATAGATGAGGAGGATGATACAAGCAAAAGAGATGTGATTTTATGGAAGAATGGTGAGAATACCATGGATGGATTATGTAAGCAATAAGGAAGTTATATATTGAGTGGGAATGTAAAGGAGAATGAGCATTGTTTTTTCACTATTTCTATTCTGCCATCCATTTACACAGGTTACTTGCTGCTGTCAATAGAAGAAAAGTGAGAAAAAAAGAAAAAGAAAGAAAAAGAAAAGGACAAAAAAAGAGAAAGGTAGACAACGACAAGAAAAATGACTAGAAAAAAAAATAAAAGAAAGGCCAAAAAAGAGAAGATTGAAAATGAAAATAGAGAAAGACAAAGATATTTGGAAAGAGAATAATATAAAGATACCAGGAATATAAATAGAATGAAAAAAAAAGGAGGAAATGGTAATATTATCCTTTTCTCTATAAGGAAACATTTGACATTCAGTGACTGAACTGCTAGTACTGTTTTCGGTTGAAATTTACAAATCTTCTCTCTTAAAAAACAATTTTTTAGGAAGACATATTTCTTGAGTCCAGTAGCTATGATAGCTTTTTCCAATATTGATGGAGTTTTTCTTCCTAACCTTCTATTTGAAGTGGTGTGGAAGCTTAACATCTTGTTTATAACATTATTTTCTATTACATGTTCTATCCATTTTAGTTATTTCTGCTGGTGGTAGAACGCAGGTGATGTTGTTTCTGTTATTTGGTACAGTTCCTTGTTTGTGATTTTGGAGCGTCACTCAAAAATGTTCAAAGAAGGATGACCTTTGCCAAGATCCTCAGGCTTTACTCACTCTAAGCCTTTTTTCACCATTGATCTTAGGAATTGGTTATATAAAGCGGACAGTTTAGATATTGATGATGGGGTTTGCATGATTTCTATATGAAAGTCTCAATTTGACGTGGCTATTTAAGAACATGACTCAAGTTTTCAGGTTGATGTTTTGGTCTTGTAGCAATTTGCAATGTTGGGCAAAGCTACCTATAGCCCAGTTTATTCTATGTCCAGTTTGTTTTTCCGCTATACTTAATTTGTTATAACTTATCCATATGCTAAGGTATCTGAAGTGTTTATTATTGACTGGGGATCCATAATGAAATTTAGAACCTTCCTATTCAGTTGGGGGCCATCACTGCTTTCATTCAGGTACAGATCATAGGTAGGGTGTTTTGGAAAAAGTTTATCTTACATCCTCATATTTATCCTCATGGTAAGGGTTATTTATTTGTTTTTCATGACCATTCTTAATAAGTTAAACAATTTTTCAGAATATTACATGAAGGAATAAAAGAACAATCATCTTCGGAAAAATGCTCAGGATAAATGTCTTCTGTTGGTGAACAAATTTGGGATACAGTATCCATTTCATTACATTTGTTTGTAAATTATTTCTTTTGTACCTGTTTAAAAAAAGAAAAGGTGGAGGAAGGAATTGATATAGAAGTAAAGGTAATAAAAACAAATGGCAGTGAATATATTTATAGGAGACTCAAGAAAAAAAGAAAGAAAAGGGCAAGGAGATCTGAAAGAAGAAACAAAAAAAGGGAAACAAAGATAGCAATAATATCAAGAAGAAAATGTAGGACAAGAGCCAGAAGACTGAAGAAAGTAAAGAAATTCTCTAATTGAAATCAATAATGTCCTTTATGTTGGTCAATGGAACAGTACAGTTTTGAGGAATCAAAGCACAAGGAGAATTAGAAGAAACAATAAAAGAAGAAATATAAAGGAAACATTACTGGAAGGGGACTTAAATATAAAAAGGGTGAAGAATAAAAAGTAGTGGCATTCATATAGATGTTGAATTTGGAAAAGAAATATAATGAAATGGTGAACCAGGATCTGCTGGCCTGAAAAAAATGTGGGTGAAAAAAAAAAAGAGGATGAAGAAGAAGAAAGGAAGAAAAAAGAAAGGGAAATAAAGAAAGAAATAGACTGATTGAGGTAGAATGAGAGAAGAGAGAAAAGAAGATGAAGAAAGAAAGAAAAAAAAATGTTCATGTGTTTAAAGGAATATCAAGAGCTGAAATGTAGAAGGTTTTTTTGAAATTGAGCAGAAGAAAAAGAAAAGATGGAAAAAAAAAAGTCAAGCAAACGAAGAAAGAAGGGAGGACTTAGGAGACACTGTCTCTCAGTAGGTTAGAAGAAAGAAGAAAAGAAGAAAATTCTTATGACTGATAAAAATGATGATGATGACATAGAAACCCAAGGATAAAAAAATGCAAAATAAACTGAGGAGCTCTAAAATCACAAACAAACAATGTTCTGTATTTGAAATTTCAAAGAAAGGGCATTTAAGAGGTTTATACAGCTAAAGAGTTCAAATAGGGGAGGAAAGTTATTAGAAAGAAATCTTTAGAAAAAGAAAAGGAAGGCGAAGAAATCAACACTGCATGGTCTGTCAGTTAGAAGTGATCTGAAGATATGGTCATCATGCAGTGTTGAGAAGAAAGAAGAAAAGAAGAAAGTCTAGGAAACTGTATTTCCAAACTGTATTTTCAAGGAAAGAGGTAAATACTGTACAATTTCTTTTTTGAATTTAAGGGACAAAGTTATCATTAGAACTATTTACATTTGGACTATTGTCCTCATCTTCTATTGTTATCACAAAGCTTTGGCTGTTATGCTCTCTGGCCTTCATCAAGTGTATATCAATTTGGATAACTTTTTAGTTCAGAATTCCCTGTAGCTTATTGGATCAATATGTTACCTGATGAAGGCCAGAGGGCACAACAGCTGAAACGTTGTGATAATAACAAAAGATGTGGACAATAGTCTGAATGTAAATAGTGTAAATATTGTATTTTTTAAGCAATTGTGTATGTAGTGTGTAAAACAGGCAAACAGTAATATAAGCTAATATTTTTTACCCTTTTTTTTCAAGGGGAGCTACATCCAAACAATAACTTTTTATAGCTGTTCACTTCTATTTTTTCAGTAATATTAACAGATAAAACAAACTGAAATGTAAAATGTTTAAATAAACTTTTCTGGTGTTGCCAAATAATATTATTAAATAAGTTAATATTGCAAAACTTACTTTCTGATGATAAGCTCAACAATATTTTGTTCACTTTTTAAATTATCCTATTTGTTATGTATCTATAGTTTAGAAACTTCTTATGTGATATACCTACAATAGAGAAACTTAGAAAGTAAGATAAATTGAAGCTATGTTATTTTGGGTTTACATTGATGTCCAGTGATACCCTTTTATTTTTTATTTTATTTTATTTTATTTCTACACGCCTTAATAATAAAAGAGAGTAGAAACCATTAATGAGAACACTCCCTGTCAACGACAACAAAGTTAATTACATGCAGTGGTTTTCAGTTGAAGAAGCTAATACATTTGTTGAATTATCTTCCTTTTGAGAAGAACTGGTCAGCTTAACTCAGTGGTGAGTTTTTGCTTTTGATCTCGTCTTTGTCTTGAAAGCAGTCATACATTTTAGTGTAAGTGGTTATCTTTTTAACAATAACTTTGAGTTATAATAACGAAAGAAGTTTTAGAAAGCTAAAGACAAGGCTAAATTGTTCTTGGTTGCATTTTATAGCTGCCTCTTTTTCTTCATATTAGTGATTTCATCTTGTGGAAAAAAAATAGGAGTTACAAAACAAACTATCTTCACATATACACGCGTGTGTTAACGCCACCAAGTGACCATAATGGAAGATTTATCAAACGGAACTAATTATAACAGCTAGCCTTTTGATACACATTTATTTATGCCTTATCTACACACACACACACACACACACACACACACACACACACACACACACACACACACACCCTACTCTCAGGTCTAGATTAGATGAGCTGAGCTGAATTTGGATTTTCTCATTTATACCCGCATTTATTTATTTTTACCCAATCTGTCCGTTTATTTCAACCTCCTATATTTCTCCACTTTTTGTTTTTATTCCGAAAGCAAATTAATTTTCCAACCTACCCTTCTATTCCAACCTACGATTCCTAATTCGGACGTTCGCAGTGGCAAAATAAAGAGATAGAGAGAAAATAGGAAAATTACTTCAAAAATATCATGAGGGGTTTTAAAAATACTTTTTATTTGTTTAGTATTCATTGTCTGAAAGGAAAATTTTATAATGGATGCAAATCATTATGTGTTGAGTAAAAAAATGAAAAGGAAATAAAGGG